ACGAGGCTACCTCTGTCCTCCTCGGCCTCGTCCGCCTTAGCCGTCAGGTAGTCCTCCTCCGCCGTGTCCCCGAACCCCGCCACTCGCCACCCGCCTTCCGCCTCGTCCTCGTCGCACCGCTGCATCAACACCGCCGTCAGGGTCTTCCGCTCCACCTGATGTAATACATCATATTGGAAAAACATTTCGACAACATATTAGGTGACACAACAGCAGCAGCAGCAGCAGCAGCACGAAGGCCGACCGCAAGTATAATCCGGGTTGACTTCCACCCCGGCGTTGAAATGAAAGCACCAGAAAATACATTTAAGTCACAGGCAGCTGTCATCCGCACGCAAGGAAGTAAGCACACGATGCCGAACACCCTTAGCAGGATGCAGCGCACCCTTCATGCAACTCGCCGAATACCTCACGGCGCTTCGCGCTTGGTGACGTGATCGCCTGGTCCCGTGAGAACCCGGCGTGCTCCGTCCTGGCTTTGTAGGGATGCGGCCATTTTACGGCATGCACGACTATGAGTACACCCCCCCCCACCCCGGCGTTGATCAAAGCGCTTTGGCCCCAGTCGTCGTCCTGCCGAATGTGCTTGTCCCAAAACACTGATTTCCGAAAATCCCTGATACTCCAGCTACTACTACTGCACACAGATATACGCCCTCGGAATTTCCTGCATTTCCCCGGCCCCGGGCGACTTACCACCTCCCACCTCTCCCGACAGAGTGCCACACCACACACCCACGGAGACCCTCATTCTGTTCATCACGCATTCACGGTGCCCCTGAACTACTTCCAGAGAAGATCGCGTCCTTGCCACTGCCGGGCACCGCCGCCCATGGGGTTTACCCAAAAGTAAGTTCTGAGGACTTCGGACATGTCCCCCTGTCACGGCGCCATTTGAGCTGCCGACATCCGAGTGTACTTGGCATTGATGGCGGTGCCAATGTACAATGTATGTGCAGCTGGTGGCTGCTTCTGTGTGTTAGCTCTTCGTGCCATAACATGGGCCGTCCATTCAGTAGTGGGCGCCGGGACTTGCGCTGTGCAAGCCATGCACTCTTGAATTGAATTGCCGGTGGTCGTGTTGGTGTGGGCTGTGGTGAATTATGCCTTGCCGTAGGTTCGCCGATGGCATACGCGATATGCGAACACGGGGCGATGCTTCATTATCTCCGATCAAAAGACTAGCAGTGACCGTGCCACTACAACAAGAGCCATCCATAGTTGACTTCGCTGCTCCGTCCACGGTTTCGTTGTTCTCTCGCACATGAGCAAAAGAACGCCACAAGACAACCAAAAGAAGTTTCATCAACTTGAAGGTTCCGCGCGGTGCTATTCTGTCTCTTTGAAACTTAGGGTTTGCTTTCGCATCGCATCAGCAGCAAAGCCTCAAGGGATTGCATCGCAGTGAACACAGAGACGGCGGTCGGACGCAAAGCTAACGAACCAAGATAGCGAGAACATGACGTCGCTGGAGAGATACACGGACTGGACACACGGGACAAAATCAACGCTCTTATCGCTGCAAACGCCGCCCCCCGAGAGACGTTGTATCGCCCCTCGTAGTACCATGCCTGCCATCGCTGCCGCCTTACAACAACGCTCAACAGGCGGGAAGGGGTATGATAGGATAGATAGGAACGGGCATTATTCTTGAGTGACCTTGGCCAAGGTGGGAAAAAACGATACTGCCATTGCTTATCGGCTTTACCACTTGAGAACGCGTGGTCAATGGTCTAACAACAACGAAGGCACGCAAAACACGAGTACTCCCCCCCCCCCGCCCCGGGAGCCCCCCTGTTTTGACACTGAAAGCACTGCAATGACAACACGGACGTTAGCCTGTTCCTCTGCAGGAGCCCGGCCAACGCAATACAGCTACTTTCGGAACACACACATCGCAGGGACAATAGATTTAACTCTCCCGAGACAAGTTTACCTGTAGCCCTACCGCAGATGACGTGACATACATACATCACACCCCCTGGGTCGATTTTCACACTTCCATTATTATTACTATTTTTATTTTGTCAGTTTGACCCAACGAATCAATCTCTATCGAAGAAAAGAGTCTACGATAGATTAGCAATGAATCCATAGCGTCGGCGAAAGTTATTCCGCGCCGAAGAGCATGCATGGGTCAAACGATACGTTTTCCGGAAGGCTCTCTACGACACAGAAGGTTCCGACGCCGACATTTTTGGCACAGCCACTCTTCCACTCTTTGCCGCTGTGGGGAAATCGAGCTTTGAGTGTCAGTCCAGGTGGTGCGGCATCTTTTGTGTCACCTAAGGTACAGAGCACAATGCGCAAGCTTGTTTGAGGAATCGCATTCCCGATATCGATGCCAGTGACGCAAATATTATACACCTACGCAGGCTGCGTGTACGGTTAGGTACATGACAGAACATACCAGTTTGGCGGTCGAGCATCACGAACTTCTCCACAGAGCCAGAGATGAACAACCAACGGAGGTGTGGACGCCCCGCCCTACGTCTACAATTCGTCGACAAAGTAAAATATCAGCAAAGCATCCAAAATACACCTCCCTCAAGGCCCCTCCCTCCCATTGATCATGAACGTGCGGGAATGACAGCTCCAGTGCTGGAGACAAACAAGCCAGAGAGGAAGCGACCCCGAACGTGGTATTCAAAGGACGCCAGTGTGTACACGCATTCCGGCTGCAGTACCCGCGCGGATCAGCAGTTAGCGATAAGAGTACCACCCGTGGGGTAGAATCGGAAAAAAACACCAATATAAATCTCCGTTGGGTGAACCTACAGTGAGTCGCAGCGCGAACTGTAGGTGTACGTATGTGATCGGAGATCGGAGAGGGACAGGGCGGCATGGATGGGTGGCGTGTTCTCCGATGCTGTACTTGTATACTCCACATGTGGGCAGGTTCCCGAGATGCTTCTAACACGGGAATGTAAGGAGAAAATTCCTCGGATACAAAGAGGATTACCCACGTCCCATGTGACATGAACGGGAATTTCGAGTACAGTAGCACGAGCTGTGGGATGCACCACCGTTGAGGTTGATTGCACTAAAACATTACAACACTCAACACTAAAACCAGGGACGGGCTTCGTTTGGCACCGACCGTTACATACACGCAAGCCGGTAACTGCTTGATTGCCCGTCGGCCAAACCAAAAAGAAGACTGTTTCAACAACAGCAGCAGCAGTGGCTGCAAAAGTTTGTTGGAGGCGAGAGTGCCGCCGAGGCGTGAATGAAGTGGACTCCCACGGTGGACGCACCAGGCCGATGGCGGGAAGGGCAACGGTTGCGGCATGCAACGCATGGCCGCCAACACCCCACGGAACAGCTGCTGTGGGTGCTCTCACCTGCTGCCATGCACATGACACAGCAGCAGTACCCGATGACCGACATGTTGTACAACGCATGGGCAAACGTTGATTACGCGGATGCGAAACGGTGGCGCTTTGCGAAAACCTGCCGGCGACCGCGCACCCTCAGACTCAACACCGCACGCGAGAGAAGTCGAAAAAGTGCTACATGGAATGGGGCACGCGTACAAATGAACCCATGCGAAAATTACCCAACGGCAAATTGCTTCTCCGCTAGTTGAGCGGCGCTTGGAGAAAAATAAACAGGAGAGTTGGTGAGTGCCGTCATGTCCTGCTGTGGGCGGCAAGAGACAAGCAAGCCATACGAGGGACCGATTCGCTTTGGCAGTAACCTGGCATACTGTTTTGAACATCATCCAACCAACACTTTCCCGCGGAATCGCATGGCATCGGCATCATTGGCGGGTAAAGCGCGTGAAGAGCGCGCATGTGCCTGCCTCCGTGCACGCAACAGTCAACATATTGTAGCCGCAGGTGACCTCAAAAGAGGCGACCGCCGTGGGTCGAGGGGTGAGGGTGGAGGGCAATGGGCAAGAGCTCTCTATCATCCTGCATACCATCCCCAAGTTTAAGCACGGCTTCCGGACGTCATGCATGTGTCTCATGAGTGTGGAATGTATAGAAGGGCGAGGTTAGAGAAGCCCCCAGGGACAGAGAAGGAATGTATGAAACCACCTCAACAACGGGAGTAGCAATTCAGAGAGCGAGAGAGGCGCACCAGAAATATTGATCCCAGAAAAGGGAACTGCACGCAGACTACCGCTGTTGTTGGAGACAAGGGGAAGGAGGGAACAGCAAGACGAGATGCCCACGACGATGGAAGGTTTCTCGGGCAAGGTCGCCGGCCGTGTAGGGAGCAGAGGGCCTGCGGTGAATCGGGCGATTCGGGTCGGGGCCAACTTTAAGGCAGGCAGCAAGCAGATGGAACACAATCACTAGACTAATCTCTCAGACAATTTCACCCAAGGGCCAAAACGGAGACAGCCCAAAGGCACGCGAGCACTCACGTTGCGGTCATCGTCGGGGGAGTCGGGAACCCCAAGCCAGATGTGCTCCCGCCCCACGACCGTGTAGGCATAGGCCGTGCGGCTGGTCCCCAAGTCAATCGCGGCAACGATGTCCCCCGCCTGCATTGTGTAGTTCAAGCGGGGTCAACCCTCTAGCATCGGCAGCAGCAGTAGCAGCTCCTCCTCTCCCCTCCCCTCTCTGTGACTTGCCCCTTCCCTGCCTTCCTCTCTGGGAATCCGCTGCGGAGGAGCGCAAGAGACACCACTAACGATAGCCCACCTGCCCACCTGCCGCCCCGCCAGGCACGCGGAGCGCGCGGCGCCCTCAAGAAGGGCCGCGAGGGAGTTGTGGAGATCTGCATGTTTTGTGTAGGGGATGGTTTCAATCCGTCCCCTCCATTCTGAATTCCGCGCGCTGGGTAATGTGTAGTAGTCTAGATATACACACAACCGTCGCCAGGGAGAGTGGGTCCGGCAAGCACTCACCCTATTAGCAGAGCTATCGTCTCTGTGTGGCGGCGTGTCTATACCTGTATCGGTCCATCGAACTCGTTGGCGAGGGTGTGTGTGTGATTTGGGGAGGTGTCGGTGGTTGAGCTACATAGCCCGCGTCCTGTAATTCCTCATGGTTCCCTCGGGCTTGACGGAGGCTGCAGCAGGAGGACCCAGGCCCAGGCGCTGCTCCCACGAGGAACAGCAGGGGCAGGACGGAGCCGGATGGGTGCGCTCGATATGCGTGGCGACCTTCGACGTGGGCACCGGGCACACGCTAGAACAGGTGAACAACAACGATGCTCTACTACTCGCGGCTGCTTGTGTGTTTCCCAACGATCGGCAAGTGCAACCAAAGAGAGTGAATTGAGCCGGTATTTGTAGATACGTACCGGCAATCACCGTCGAATGAATGTGTGCGTTTCCCAGTAGTATCCAACAAGCTTGGGAACCCTGCCGATGTTGAAGTGCCCGCAAGGCGACGCACACGCGTCTGCGATCGTGCGCCACCCCCCCCCCCCCAGCG